AGTGAAAGTTGGACTTGAAGAAGTAGGATAGAAAGATTATTGTTGCTTTTGAACTTTGGTGTTGAATAAGACTCCTTAGAATATCATGGACAACCAAGAAAACAACCATATAATAGAAGAAATCACTCCAGAGTTCTCCCTCAAGGGACATATGACCACATTCAAATTATTATACTTTGAACACATTATGTGAAGACCTACAGTAACTCTCTTGAGAGCTACTATAGGTCTATTAATGTAGGTGTCTTAATGTAGGTCTATAACACTGGGAAAGGTGGAAGGAAAGGAAAGAAGAGAACAACCAGCAGCAAGATAGATGGAATCAAGTACAGTGGCAAGGGTACACCGCTGGAATACTGAAGGACCAGGTTGGAGAAAGATCATCCTAGAGAAGATCTATCTATGTGGTCCCTAACAGTCAACACTGACTTGATGACATGTAATTAAAGTTACTGTAACCAATCTTCATGCATTTGGATCTCCCTCTTGAAAGAGTTTGAGATGACATTTAGAGGGAGAAAAGGGAAGCTGGCCTGCCTGATTACCCCTTAGGGAAATTATATTTTTATCCTATTAATTTTTCTGTGCCAATAACATTGCTGTGGTTGCTTTATGAATTATCAAAGGGGGGAGGGGAATGATCATAAGGAAGCAACTCAACTGCGTTTTTGGACTTGGCTTATTTTCCAAACTCATTATTACTGAAAATATATCTCCAGTTCTTGGGAATTCTGATTTTTTGCAAGCAGGTTGTACTTTGTAACCCATTTGTTAAAAGAATATAACTATAATTTGGGTTTAATATTGTTTGATATTAAGGATCTTTATGACATTAACAGAAGGAAAATACTAGGATTGATGGTATGTGTGTAGTTTGAACACTAAGTAATTACATTTTAGTTCATGGAAAAGCACTTTAAAACTACAATCCAAAGCAATCTTAACTAGGAGTATCTCAACACACTAGGAGTTATTTGCATGCAGACATGCAGGGTGTTAGTTAATTTTGCCCACTGTAAAGAGCTGAGTTGTTCTTCTAATTCTGAATAATTGTTGTTGATGCTAGTGGCTATTCCATCAGCCTGGACAGAAGACCATGTGTTTCCATGGCTGAACAAGCAATCATTGGTTAAGATCAAGGGACAGATGTCTTGACTTTTGCAAAATCAGCACTGATGAACTTTGTATTTGCAGCTAATACAACTAACTCTGCTCAGTTTGGGACTATTTTCAAATCCCTTTGTGCAGCAGTTTTGCTCCCAAGCCAGACACTGCATCATTATTTTGATCACCTTGTAGGCTGCTTGTGTAGTTTTCAGCAGAATGATTTATTATTCTCTGGATGTTAAAGTCCTACTAGAATCAGCAAGGCAACCTTCCATAGGCTTGCTGGCTTGCTGGCATGCCCATTGATACAGAGAGAACAGAAATAGTCTCTCTGTGCTGTAATTTGTTGCTGTCCTATGGTTAGCAATTGACCTCTGTATACCTAATCCATGGATAAAAGTTATATTACTAATAACTGCTTTTGCCATTCTTTCATGCAGGAAGGACAAATTTAAGTCTATGATGTGCTCAAGAAGTTTTTGAAGTGACTTTTTCCCCCAGTTAATGGTAATTATGACCATAAACAGTGATTATATACAATATTTTGAGTAGGAGTGGACAGGGTTCAAATTTGTCAGTTCTACTTTGTTTTATGTTAGACTGTTGAGATTAACCAGCTGGAGCAGATAGTAAAGAAATAGATTTAGGATTCTCAAAGCTTTCAATCCTTTCACAGATAAAACCACTCCTGGGATTCCCATGGTTTCTTAATTTTAGCAGCATGTCTGCCATTGTTGAACATCTGGAAGTTAGACATCCTTGCTAATCTATGTCAAATCCCAGTCTGGATTTTTACCCACACACCTAAATGACTATCTAAACATTTCATACATGCTTTTTCATATTAGAGCCACTTCCACAAGTACAAGAATAGTCTTTATTCTCATATCCTTGGACAGATAAATATTTTCACTGACTAAAAAAAAGGAAACCATCAAAGATATTATGGAACCTCATGTTGCTAGCCTGACATCTGGTTAATATCCACATTATTAATTGTACCTGTCACATACAATATTATGGCTGAAATTCCAAGGGTTGACTATATTTACTTAAAAATAAATTCACATATTTCAAAGAAGGTATGCATAGGAGTAGGCTGAACTCTTAAGAAGCTCTTGGTGCTGAAAATTCAAGTTAATTAAAAGCTAACTAAATTAAATTGAGAAACAAGGGCTACTGGCATCTATGAAAAAGTTGAAAAATAACAGTGTCAGTAGTATTATAAAAATAATCCACCATGAATTCTATGAAAGCAGATTTTCAGGGACTGGCAAAATGAACTCTGACATGGATTGGACAGCAACAGCACTGAATGGAATCCGCGAGCATTTGTATTTTTCTAATAAAAACTTCTTGTTAGAAAAATTTGTGTAAAAAAAAAAGCATAAATTTCTGAAAGCTGCTTTCAAAAATGTATGTTGGGAGCGAGAAATGTATGTTTTTTTAAAAATCATGGAAATATGTGTTAAATTATATATAAAAACGTTAAGATGCTAAAATTTATATTAAAAATCACATCTATTAGGAAAAGTCACACACTAAAGCTCCATTTGTTAAGCTGAAAACAATTAACAGTCAGCTTGGAATAATGTATTACTGACATGGACTATAAAATGGAGCTGATTAATAATGGCCTTCATAGCTCTAGGTGTTATTTTTAAGATAATCCTGGTAATATTTAATTTTGAAAGTGAAATTCATCTGCACATTTCACAATTTTATCTATTAGTTTCTTCCCAAATAGGTGTGAGCTTTTTGCTAAAATAAATAAAAGTTCTCTCAAGCAACACAAACCCCTTTCTCATTTTCACAAACATCAGCTGTATTTTCCCCACAGCATTTTAATACAAAATAGGAGTGGTACCCAATAACTTCTGATATACTAAAAGGAAAAAAAATCGCAGCAGCATAATCCTTGGAATGCTGAATGTGTCCGCCGAAGGTGTTACATTTCCAGACTGAGGGATTCACAAGCAATAAAGAAGCAGTACTGGAACACAAAAAGACTTCGTGTTTACTAAAAGTCTCTGTTTTATCTGAGTAGGTGCCACTGTCAATGAACTTGAATAAAATGTCTCCCTTTATCTAGACCCCAAAACAAATCAAATGTATTCCAGGCATAACTAGAAGCCTCTATTATTTAACACAGTTGTGTGATTTTGGCATATTTGGGGGCAGTGAATAAGATTCCAATCTCTGACATTCACTTGTTCCATTTTTATGTACATGAAGAAGACCTTCTCTTGATGCCTCCATTTTCCTGTCCTTTAAGCTGAAATCAGGATGTTGATTTTACAGATCAGGTAAAAAGGTTAAATCAGATAGAGACTGAACATTACAGTCTTTATTTTCCTTTTAAAGAAAAGGGAAATATTTCACAGTGTATTATTATAATAGAGATCACAACTTATATGTGAGTGTTATAAACCTGGCTAATTAGCAAGTCCTGTTGAATCAGTGAGACCTAGTTCTGAGTAATTATGCAAATATAACCCCATATGGAATTAATGTTTATTAAATTTATTTTAGTTTAATGTAATCATAAACATGACCTCTCTAACTGTGAAATACAGCATCAGAGATGCTTTGCTGAGACTTTAGTGTAAAGAAAAGAAGGGAAACTTCTTCCTACCCACCTACCCCATGTACCCAAAGTTACCTAGGATTCTCTATGTGTGTCCTTTATAACAAAAATGTGCAGAATATTGTCAAGAATGCAGTTAGTATCTACCTCAGCAACAGGGAGCAGTGCCCGACTGGCCTTGTCTGGATAGGAACTTGCAAAGGTTGAGCCTGATTACTATTTGCCCAAGAGGATACCAGAAAGTCTCTGAAAACTAGACTGGGAAATCTAAAAAACATCATGGAAGAAGGAAACAGCAGACCACGCCGCTAGTGGTTAGGAAAGCAGCCAAGGTGGCGCTTGTGGGTTTGAGCCTTTGCCAGTGTTGTCCAAACTTGGCCACTTTAAGATGAGTGGACTTCAACTCCCAGACA